CAACGGCGAAAAGGAATTTTTAATAAGCCATAAAACTGGTCCTATAAACTAGTGGGACCTGGTATAACATTAATTTACTTAAGTCGAAAAGGTGGATGTTTTGGTTTTCAAACTTTTCCATGCTTTTTTTTTTAACTTTTTAACATTTAACAACCAAGTAAAATTATTTTGTAGCAATTATTTTACTCTCCAAAATTTGGTGTCCAGATTGTCACCCCAGGTAAAAAGGGAAAAAAAAACACTTGTAACTTGCGACATTTATTGGAAAGAGACACCCGGTTTATAAACGATTTCGCAGGCTACGGGTTTCGACACAAAGATTATACCAGTCAGCTTTCTCCTTTCGTGGTGATAAGCGAAATAAAATTTGGCCATCAGTCGTTTTCGATGCATTACGTGTATACCGTATACCTCCAGATCGACTGTTCCCAAAAAAAATTGAATAAAAATTGACCAGGCCGCCAAAAAAAATCGATGTGGAGAGCTGAATCCCGATGTCATTCTACCAGCTACAATTTGATTCATATTTTTCTGTAACGCATCAAATTAACTATACCTCTGAGATTACTCATTGTTTAGCCCACAGTACAGGATGTCATTTTACTCTAAATCTAATGCTGCATCACTAAATATTACATAAATAAATACTAAATATATTTAATATTTGATGTTGAATGAATAAGCACTAGTAGCATCGTTGTTAATTTTCAATTTCCATACATTAAAAGATCTCGATTTATTTGTAAGTTGCGAAAGTGCAAACTATATTTCATTAGCTGTCAAAGTGTTTTCCTATTTTCTGGTTTTTGTATGATCAGCATTTTCCTGTACAATAATTGAATCTTCAAAGTGTTGTGTCTCTAGAGTTTTGCTCTATGCAGTCCTGCCTACCAAAAGTGTACAACACATTTTTTCTATTTTATCATTTTTTTATAGAAGTTTTGCATTATTTTTTTTTATATTTTTTGTAAGGTTAGGCTACTCATAACTGTTTTTTATATTATTATTTAGAGCCACTTTTAAAAGTTACTGGTTTAGTATATGCACTGGAATTGCCTTTCCATTCATTACAAAAACCCGAGCACTACATTCTCCAATGACGCAACCTTGATATCCGCAGCATATACTGCACCTACCCACCGTGCATGTCGTTATCGAAGATTTTTCTCAACTGCGATAACATTTTATCAACAAAGGAAGTGCAACCTGCCTGCGGTTGTGTTTTGGCAAGTTGCGCTCCATCAACACGAGATAAATCCCCTTGTTTTCGTGTCTCGTCGCGCTAAAGTATATACAGGGCGCGTTCGGTTCAGATAGAACACAAAAAATAGTAAACGGTGAGTTGCTATGCACATGCGTTGTTGAAAAGTATATTTTGTTTTATTAGTTTACTGGCTTTTAATGTTTATATGTTGAACACATTATTTTGGTTGATAAAATGGAACTTTTTTTGGAAAAAAGACTTTGTTACTTTTAAAAAATCGATTAAATGGAATTTTTCGAAAGTACAAAATTTCATATCTCGGATGTTGCAGAGAGTTGCCGAAAAATTAAGTTTTCATATTTTGTGTTATTTACTGTTCTCCGCTCGCTGTCGAATCGCATAACCACCTGTTCTTTTCCGATTTTAAAGTGACTATTTGAAAGTTCAAGGTATCGACACGAGACTATGGGCTATATCAGAAATATCTACCGGGTGTGCCAATTATGGGCAAAAAATTGAAAATTTAGTTCCATCTTGGGGAATGATTCGATTGGCGGTTTCTTCCATTTGTCTATATAGGCCGTATCAACTTTTGTTAATATGGTTTTTGCACATTATACAGGGTGTGTTGGATGAGCCGCACTAAATCAAAGATCTGTCCAAAATTTGCATGTTTCGACTTGAAATTTCACAGAGAGGTCTATGCTACAAAACCTGGCTTTCATAAGAGGTATTTAAAAAAATAACTTTTTTTGAGTTATTTTGGGCCCCGGATTTTTTTTATCGAAAACCATTCACCTGATCGGAAATGTTATTAGACCATTAAACGCTAGAGAGCTGGAACTAAAACTTTTATTTTGGTTTGGTGATTTTTTCGACTATGTACAGGGTGGTCCAAATTCGAGGGGCCTTTATGGCTGCATAGTTACAGCAGCATGGTTAGTCCAAACTTTGGCGATATAAAAATTTGTACTAGCGATTTCCAATTATATTTTTCAGGTATTTCGCGCACCTTGTATGATAAAAATTGCCGCCTAAACGAAATTTCTGAATTTTTTACGGTTTTTCATTTAACTAATAATGAAGCCAATTAAGGGGCCTCTTGGCTTTTAGCATTTGCAGCATAGTTAGCCCAAAACTAATATACATGTTACGGGCTCGATTTTCGAGAGAAGTCAAAAACTGAAAACCGCATCGTGATATGTCAAGTCGTTTTTGAGTTACAGAGTGATCCTCAAAAATGTGCGATTTTAAAGGCCCTCTATAACTTTTTTAATTGTATTTTTTTGTCTTAGAGCCTTTAGTTCCCGAGATATCACACAAAGTTATATTTCTTTAGATGGGATACCCCCAATTTTTCTGAAAAATCAGTTTTATAATAAAATTTCCTGTCGAACGATGTGCCACACACCTACTTTTATTAAATAGTTGATGTTTGCAATTTTTGATATTTACCATAGTAGGCGCCGTACGCAGCCTAAATATGTAGATCAAATTTTATTGTTTTTTTTTTGTCATACAAAATGAAGTTGGCTACGACACGAGGGGACACAGTAACCTCGCACTTTAACTTCTAGTATTCCGTTAGTTCTTTCAACTCTCTAACTCTGGCTGGTCTTCCATACGTCCAAAGCCTCGATTTTGTAAAGGATCCGTATTCTTGTAGATGACGTTTTAACTTTAAAAATATTTTTGAGCTAGGTTGCTCTCTTTCATATTATTAGAAAACTAATTAAAAAAAAATGGGGCATTCCATTTTAAAAAAATGTAACTTTGTGTTATATCTCTTGAACTAAAGGCTTTAAGACAAAATTGGTGAAATAGGTAGATTTGCCCTTAAAAAATCTTCAAAAAAGGTTTTTAATAAAAATCTCTATCTTTACAAATAAAAAAGTTATAACGGGTTTTTAGAAGCGCACATTTTTAGCTTTAGCTTTTTACTTTTTGCTTGGAAACGCTTTGTCGAGCCCGTCACATGCATATTAGTTTTGGGCTAACTATGCTGCAAATGCTTAAAGCCATAGGGGCCCCTCGAATTTGGACCACCCTGTACAGAGTATGTCGATTGTATGCAAAGAACTAAGTCACTAAAAATTAACTTTTAAATGGCTTCATTATTAAATGAAAAACCGTAAAAAATTGAGAAATTTCGTTTAGGCAGCAATTTTTATCTTTATCATACAGGGTGCGCGAAATACCTGGAAAATATAATTGTAAATCGCTTGTACAAATTTTTATATCGCCAAAGTTTGACATGACTTTGATGTTAGGTTGAATGGACATTTGAAAGGCTCTTTATACAGGGTGCATTTTTTTTGCAAAAGTTTCATAGTGGTCAGCAGGAGCACTACAGAAAATGAAACAAAATGCACAATGCCCTTTTTTTGTCAATTCCTTGCTGTTAAACGCCCAACAAAAATTTGTAAAGACGAACGTGTCAGAGCACACGCTTAACCTCCAAGCCTGCCGCAGGGAACATTTTGATTAGGTTCAGGTATGGTCTGTTCATAGATATAAGAAAGTGACCAATTGCTTTTGAATGGGATTATCCAAGGGTGGTCATTAACATGCAATGCAACAAGATTATTACTCAAAGTTTCTGTGTTTAATACTCTTTGGTTTGGTATACTACTTAGTTTGTTTATTAGTAATCATTCTTATTTCGTCTGTAATACAGCGTGTGTTGAATCGTGTCCGAATTATGCAAAATATGTGCGAGTCTAGTGTACCTCGGGAGATGCTCCCGCCCAAATGTAGAAAACACTATTCTATTGAGACTAAGGACGGTATAAACAATATTTATTTGACTCTCATTGAACGTGATGCCAGCAAGCAAGCATCTTCAGAAGAAACGGCTATATTGACGAAAATTCCAACATCAACTGTATGGAAAATTGTGAATAATCCCATTTAAGCGAGGAAAAAAAAGAAGCGATGCTGACGTTTTCTCGAGTGTAGATGAAAGTGATCAAGATATAATACGATGTAAAATTTACCAGTTATAAGAGGAACAAAGCGAGCCTACATTAGATATCTTAATTAGGAAGCTTGAAAAAGATAAAACCGGTGTTAAATGTGGCAGAACTACCTTATGGAAGTGTATTCAACACAGGGGTTTTAGATTTAAAAGAATTGACAAAAGGCAAGTTTTAATGGAATCTTTTAGAATTCGGAAATGGCGACTGGAATATCTAGAAAAAATCAGGATTTACAGAGAACAACAAAGGCCAATTATTTACTTGGATGAAACCTGATTCGACACTTATGATACCCCGGAAAAGGGTTGGGTTGAGTCAACTGATAAGTGTAAAACAAACGCGCCATCAAAAAGAGGTAAAAGAATAACTATTTTGCATGTTGCCTCTAAAGATGGTTGGATCCCAAATGGACTTTCTCTGTGTGCGAAAAATATTAAAGATTCTTCTCTGGATTACCATCAACACACCACCGTTGATTTATTTGAAAGTTGGTTTAAAAACAAACTAGTTCCAAACATTCCTAATAATAGCGTCATTGTAATGGACAATGCAAGTTGTCACAGTAGACAGTTGACTAAATTTGTAATTTTATTTTATATTTAAACATAAATACATACATAAATAAATAAATATTGTTTAGTATCTTTCCTAACAAAACCCCCAATAATTAAATTCTAAGCAAAGTACGAACCTGTACCTGTAATTCGTATCAGTTAGTCACTTTCATATATCTATGAACCGACTTTAACCGAAAATAATTATCGAACTCTATTATTCTTGGTTCGAGTTTTAAGTTGCCGAAACGTGGATGTACTTACCGGTCACGCCGTTCGGAGGTGGGGAGCCTTGCTGAGGATTCTGCGGCATAAAGACGACCCCTTGCATGGCGAATTTATGATCTGAAATACAATGTGTTACGCTGAGAAATGTTTATCGTAACACCATCGAATGGTTTCGATCCCGGTTAGAAACGATATTATTTTCTCGGGTTTTATTTTATCATTATTTATTGAAAAATTTCTTGTACTATAAATATGAATTTGCTACAATACTTTCAGGAAATTTTAACGATAAGCTACAGAATTTTTGTTCTGTTCTGTTCTGTTGGAATTCGCTTAATTTTGAAATTGAAAGCCAATCTAATACCAAATATAAAGGTAAAGAATCGGGTAAATTTTGTTTGGGTATTGGTAATTATTAAAATTGACACGAAAATTATTGTCAAAAACAATGTCTTTCATAACCTTAAACTTAGGTTGCTTTTTGATCACTACGCGACCGCCCTGTATAACATTAACCAAAACAGGTTGTCGAGTCTTTTGTCTGCCGTTAGAGAGCGCATTTAGAGGTTATAATATACGCCGGTCTTCTTGAACTTTAACCCGTCGCGTGTCCGCATTAATGCTCCGAAGTGGGGGGCGCTAATCTTTATCTCGCAACCCTCTGGACCCCAAGCAGATCGCACGCGACAGAGCAGGTGTTTAATAAAAGGGGCTACGTATAAGGCAGGTGGAAACAACATATGCCGTTCCTAAAGTCGGGGTAACACATCAGACAATTGATACGGATATATGTATCAATCGGCATACTCGTTTTATTTACATTTATTTACTCGAATCGCTACAGGCGGCTGGATGCGTTTATGTTGAAAATTGTTTGTTTATTCCGTTGTTGCCTAAATATTACTAAGCACGATTTAAATCTGAGAGAGAAATAACAATTTTGTTTAAAAAAAGAAATCGAAATTTTGAGGAGAAATATGTAAAAAAAATTACTACGTTATAGAACACATGTAAATGTACAGAATGGATTCCTGAATTGGTCAATGTTAATTTGTTGCCTAAAAAGAACCACTACAGTACAACAAAAACAAAAAACAACAAGAATGACGAAGTATGTAGTAAAGCAAAGAAGTAGACAAATCAATTATTGGGAAACAAACAAAAATACAAATTATAAGTAAAACCAAAAAGTTAATAAAAAAACCTTTTAGAGGCGTAAGTATATGATAGTGTCTTACTTTAACAGAATAAGGAAGGAAAGAAAAATAAATAAAGCACGCTTCTTAAAACAAATGGCGCCATTAAAAATATTCAAATATAATAATCACTAATTAGCCCGATAATTAGGCAAAATAGCACAAAAGTATTTTTTTTACTGGCTTTACGTGTAAAATGGCGGGCGTAACAACAATTTCGAACGAAACGGTCGTTTTTATATAATTCTACGAGCAGTATACTTTCCATATAGGTACACATACACGCTGGGCAATTATGTAAACAGAAACGCGATTATGGTTATTATTATACGTAGCGAAAAAATATCTTCTATTGCGCTATATACGCTTTCTCGAATCCGAGACGAAATCCATCAGACCGAGATGAGTGCATACATATCAGCGGCGCAGGTAGATCAGTATGCTCCATAAAAAAAACAAAAGCTATACTGGTTGGAAACAATTTTTATTAGTTAAATGGTTCCTCCTCCTGCGGAACAATCTAAAAATTGTTAAATTACTACCCAAATCGTTTATTTGTATATAAATCAAAGTCTAGTAACGACGTCCAAGTGTATCCATATATTCGATATATCAGACGACTTGTTTCGATTAAAGGTGAGCAAACTAGGGTCAAACTATCACCGCCATTTAACTTTTAATTTTTTTAAAGTTTTCTACATTTAGAAAATTTTAAAATTAAATAATCAAGCGTTCTATACACTCAGCTCCTAGAGATATAGAGGCTCTGCCTAATGCCGAAAATACATAATCTTATGAAGCGACTATGAGAAGAGCGCATGAGCGAAATTTAAAATCTAACTTTTAAGCTGACCTTGCGGTAACAACCAACATGGCAGCTGACAGATCGTCAATAAGCTCGGATACGGCATTTTTAAGGCAGCATTTTCTCGCAAAGTGCAGGTTAGTAGGTCCATTTCTACGAAAACACCAATGCAACCTGCGGCGCAACAATTTTTACTGTGGTAGGGTGACTATATTATCTAACAACTATAAATATGATTCTACAGCATTGAACAGTATATTCTTTTCCAAAATATAACCAAATATAATTGAATGTTCTTGAATACGCTAATTCCTGTCTTGCGATGTCTTTGTATTTTCCATAATTCAAAATATTCATAGGTTTTTTTTTTCGAATTGTCAACTACACTTTTAATAAATAGATTAAAGTAAATAAATATTGAAAATAACTTTTTAAATATATGTTTGTATAATAATGTAAGTACTTTTTAAAAAAATTATAATTTTATGTTGTTAGAGTTCTAAAAATATAGCCAAACACAACTTTTACCATTATTTAGTAAAAGAGAAAACTTATGTATTAATTTGTAAATTGTTCAAGTGATTTCGTAAGGCATTGTAACTCAGGAGTCAGAAAATAAATTGTTTTTCGGTTTCGCTAGATAAAATTTTAATTAAACCGAAACTTTGTTAAAGAAAAGTTTTCTTGAGTTTCTAGTATCTACAATTTTTATCACCTAGGTATGAAATCCGAATCTGGCAAAATGCAAGATCAGCAACGACGATGGCGTAATTTGAATCTAATATATATTGCTCAAACAGCTGATCTGCGAGTTCGGAAATCGAAATGTTGTTAACGTGAACGGTTTCTGCTGATTGATAGTTTATTCAGTTTGAAATGCGATGAACCGGCATAGTGTCGATAATTGCCCAACCTCAGAAAAGGAAACGACGAGGCAAATTCATTACCTTCCGTAAAACATCCAGGCTGTAGGTTAGTCAACGAACTTGGGAAACAAACGATTAACAAAAACGCTGCAGTATAACAAAAAACAACTAATATCCCACAAGGAGGTTCCGTTTACGCAAAAGAAAATGTATGTTTCTTTAGATTCCGCCATATAGCGTTAAAACTACGGCGGGATGAACAGAAAGAAAATATTTACAATTATCTAGTTTAAATAAAAAATATAATGCCCAACCAAAATACCGAACTATGCACAAATCAGAAGTGCGTAAGATGTCACGTGCTTCATTAACCAATCTTCTTTATACACCAGTTTATTAAAAACTGGCTCCGCTGCGCTCGTAACTAAAGTGTACAAAACTTTTTAGCTAATATATGAAATATTATTCCAAATCCAATGACCTATTCTCATTAATGTTTAGAGAACTGAGGGAGATATTGGTGTATCTCAAATTTTGGTTCCTGCCATGGGAAGTTGTGATCCACATTTTCAATGTATACCCTTATTGTGGCATTATTTTCAGCTAAGATACATACGTGATATCGAATGTTCTTAAATGAAACACTGTGTATGTAATAATTTTCTAAGAAAAATATTAATTTATGTTTTTCGAAAACCGGGTAGATATACCATGACGTAAATTATTTTCATTTTCATTTCATACAAAAGTTTGTAGAGGGTGTCTCATTAATATTCAACAACACTTAACTTGGATATATTAAATGGTAAGATCCTGCAGGCTTCCCCACCAGCAAACCTCTTACTTATAGGTCTTAAAAACTGAAACACTCTGTCTAATGATCTGTCTCACTGCAAATTTACATTTTATTACTCTCTCACATGAAGAAACATAGTATAATTTCAATGGTTTCCAAGGCATCTTGATTATTTCGGCAACCGGAAACAAAGTAGAGAATTGGCATAACTAACCAAAACTATGAATGCTTAATTTAAACCAACATTGATTGGCTAAGCTTTTCTATTGTTGTTTTATATTTTCTATAGAAGGGCGTAGTCAATCGATATAGGTTTAAATGTTGGATAAGATCATACAATTACATACAGTGGGTCGCGTATAAAAAAGTCAAAGTTTGCAGCTTTAAAAATAATGAACTTGGTTGGTAAATATTGGACACCCCGTAAATGATAACCCAGAAAATATAACCTTATGCAAAATTAATATAAACCCGTATTCATGAGCTATCCTATATAATCTGGGACGACGGGATGGCGCTAAGACCGTGCCTTGAGGCATTCCGATGTCGTCTTGTGGCACTTTCGACGTTTGAATAGCAATTTTCGCGGAAACCGGCAAAACAAACGGAAAATAGTCGTCGTATGTCGAGAGATTGTTGAGAATTTCCGCGAAAATTACCGCACCCGCGAACTTATCTGCCGTTTGATACAGATGTTCGCGGAAATATTGCCAATTATTTGATTAATGATAACGGCATCTGTAGATGCGTTTTTTTTAATACCGACGATTTCGCCTGTGTGAAACCCCCGAATAGTTTTTTCATGACAGTTAATGCCGATCTCTTAAACTCTTTCGCAGTAAACTCCATCTATGGAATTGGAATGCAGCCAATATGGATTTTGTGAGGAAAATTTTACTTAGAATGAGACTGGTATAGTAATAGAAATTGTTCTCTTTGTCTTATATGCTTATACTAATGGCAGATAACTGTAATAAGATATTGTTAATATTATTTTTCAATTTTGATACCTGTTTGGCCTTTTTGGGAGTAAAGCGTTGTTAACGAGTACTTCACAAAGTGATTCCAATCGCTAATTCTTCTTTGAACTAATTGATTATGATATATGCATTTTAATGGTGACAATCTTGTGTGTGTACATTATTTAGGGGGGCTTTTTATTATTTTTTATGTTTTTTAACCATTAAGTCGACTTATTTGACTAACTTTAACTAAATTTACCCAAATTTTGGTGAAGCTTATAAATTTTTTTTTTGGTTGGTTTTGATTAGAAAAAACAGGTTAATTTTTGAGGTTGGCCTCCTTGCCTCACCGTCCCATACTAATAATTTCGTACTGCTGCTAATTAAAATTATTTAAAAGTGTTGTGTTGCATAATGGCTGAGCTGGACATTCGACATCCAAAAGATCCAACATACAATATGGTAAATACCTTTTTTCCGATTTCGTC